TTCACTCTTTCATGTGCATAATTGTGCAGTAAACCAAATGCAGCGAAGAGGACTGCACAAAAGGCCAACCGTGTACACACTGAACCTGTGCATGTTTGTGTTCCACATAGAAAACACATGCAAGAGAGTGACTGTGGGCACTCGTGCATATTTGTGCTGTTAAATGAAAGGAGGGTTAATGGATGGTTCCAGAATAAAAAACTTTCCACTTTCCATGTTGGAGAATGCCAGAACTCCCTACTGGATCCTGAATAGTAATTTCCGTTATTTGCAATTGGTATCCACTATCCAGAGCTGCCATGAATCTTCTTCACTGCAAAAAAATTCAGGACGATTTAGCATAACATGTTTAACAGTGAGCAGGCAGGTCTGTTAGTGAAGCAAACTTGTTCGCAAATAATGATTCCATTAAAGTTAACAAAAATAAGAACCACTTTTTGGAAAATTTGTTTTCTTTTCTGTAGGATCACGGAGGGGTTATCATCAACATATCTGCCACTTTGCCTTATCGTGGCCAGCTTTTTCAGATCCATGTCAATGCAGCAAAGGCAGCGATTGGTAAGCATTGTACTGCCACACTGCAAAAGAATCCACCTGTAATTTTAAGTTATTGCTTTTGAAAACTTGAAAATCATGACACATTTATCATTTCACCAGACTTAGCCATTTTATTTGGGCTTTATTTTACCTAGACTCCATGACTATGACATTGTGCAACGAGTGGGGCCCCCAAGGCATCCGTGTGGTGGGCATAGCCCCAGGACCGATTGGTGATACTGAGGGTCTGAGGAGGCTGGGTAAGATTGCCTCAAATTTATTGTTCAAGTAAAAGCGGTGTTTATTCTTTGTAAATCTAAACAAATACAGTGAATGTCAATAGACCTACCCCTTAGAAATGTAAAGAAAGTACATCAAACATACTTCATAGAGGGTGAGCATTTGGGGCTCGAGGAACAATTGGAAAAGGGCATGATTAGTAACATTAGAAGCTTGAGGTATGAACTGGTTTATAGAGTTATCAAAATCATAAATTATGACAAGAGGCTCTGAGTGTTCAAGGGGTAATAATGTTGCAAGAAGGTTTGCAGATGGTTCAGTTGTGGGTGTACATTCATTCTTACAGCGATTTCAATTCAGTGAGCTTGTGAGTGTCCAAGAGCTCGTGAGAAACAATTCATAAGGTTGCTCAGTTGAGACTCGTGCTGGTGAAGACTTGTCAAGTACTCAACCACAGAGCTTGTGGTGATCACATGTTTGGTTTGAATCCAGTGTGCATGAAGTCTGAAATGCCAATATCAATGTTTTTTGAGGAAACAGGAAGTTTTGCAGGCCGCATATATGTCTAACATATAACAATCCTTTTTCCAGCTGGTGCGGGCATGCTTGGTGAGGAGGTGCTGAAAAAAATCCCCCTTCAGCGGATCGGTACCAAACGTGAAGTTGGCGATTGCGCTGTCTTTGCAGCCAGCCCTGCGGCCAGCTATATCTCGGGCAGCACTATCGTGATGGATGGTGGACACTGGATGACCTATGACAATAACTTCAGTTTCTACGCCAAACCAAAGGGCAAACTGTAGAATGGACTTTGACAAGTGGTCATGGAATTGTCATCTACTGGCGTAAGAGGTGACGTGGCATAAATGGCTATTTTGTAAACATTCTGTGGGCACACAAATAAGATTTCAGTCATTTGATGATTTAAAAATAAGTAGGAAGCAGTGATTCCCCCAGTCTCCAGACACCTCATCCAACTTGGGTGGGGTTCTTTAGGCCACACCCACCTCTCTCATTACATTTTAGTACTTAGAAGCGGTAGATAATAATTTTAATAGTTTGTTTGCATTGAATGGCCTTAAGCTAAAGCACAATTTAAAAAAAAAAGACAGTAAAATAGTTTTAAGGTTAACATTTGAAATTAAGGGTAACTCTGAATCCGTGTATAGTTGCCAAAAAGAATGTGGCATTAAAATTAGACCGAAATTCTTGCCATTTCAAGATGAAACTGGAATAGTGAAAAAAGTTTCGAAAATTAAATTATGTGTTGATTTTTTGATATATTGCGCTTAGGAGTATTGAGATTGCATCATTGATGGAAGGCACCATGGTCGCAATTTTCAAGAAATGATTTTTTTAAATATTTGATTAAGCGATGTCCTTGTGACGGCGTAAACAAAACTGTTACAATAAAGGAACTGTGATGTTACAAAATTAAATGGCGGCAGCCTCCTTATATCTTTTCCTATCCCCAAATTATTAAGTCATGTACAATACTCTATGTATCTTTCAATTCCCCCTTCCCCCATCTTTAGTGAGGATATGGTCCCATTTTCAAGTTCCAGGGCGTGGGGTGTAACTCGTTGGGGAATGATTCAATCATAGTCCGTCCTCCCACCTTTTCGTGGTGAGCAAAGAATCGAAGTTCACTGTGAGGTTTTTTCTGACTTACCAAGACTAAAAAGATTGCTCAATAAGTGAAAACAATGGAAAAGGTCAAAAACATGGCATTTTGATGTAAGATTTTGCATAAAGGCAATACCATGGAGGTTCTTCCTACCTCCATGTATGACATGTGACTTGGACTTGATATTTCTTGACTCGAATACAAGTCTGATACAGACAACACTAATTTTCCATTTAAAGTGTTATAACAGCCGTCAGAAAGCGATAACATGTCCCAAAAAGTGAAATTTAGCAAGGAAAAATCCGCAGCATTTGCATGTACACTTACCTGGAAAATTCTTCTTTTTTTTTCTTTTTTTTTAGACAAGTCTCAAAGGTTTGTGCTCAGGGGCATCAAGTGTTGTCCGTATACAAAAGGTTGAGCATTTCTGTATAGCTCTGGTGGCACACTCTGTGAGAAAAGTACAAATATCAGCAGTGAAATAATTTTTTCCCAAGGCTACCTGACGGGGATGCGGAGAGTTAGGTGTCGCATTGCGGCGACTTGAGTGAGACTATCAGCAAAACACGAGTTTGTATAGTCTCTGCTTAAGTCGTCTTGGCGCCTAGTTAAATTACCCTTGGCTAGGCTGCGCTTGCCCGGCCCCCTGCCCGGCCCCTGCTGATTCGAGAGAGATAAAAGGTCACCGCATGAGCGTAGCATTATTTGACCAGTGGGCATCGCATGACTGGGTTCGAAGTACAGGGTTCAGGCTGTACGCAAGGCCAGGCCATGACCACATACCACACAGTGTGAAACGTCGAGCTAGAAATGGCTGCCGTATCTGCAGACAAGTTTGAATTTGATGTGTGCATGCCGACGTATGATTACGTTTTTCAACCAGATGTCTTGAGGTATGGCTTAGCCTTAGGCCTAACATGCCTGTGGAGTGAAAATAATCGATTCAATATGTCCGCGTGATAAGTAGCCCCGTGCCATTTATGATTTACGCGTAGCCTAAATTTGATAAAGATGGGTCCATTGTGGATTATGATGATTATGTAATGCCCCAAGTCGACCCCTCATTTCGACACTTACTGCCAGACTGTGAAAACTAGTGACCTGGCGACTTCTTCAGTACGTAGCAACAGATTCACTGAATCCATGTATAGCTACGGGCCAATTGAATACTAAATAGCCAATTGAATCCATGTATAGCCAGCGTCACAGATGTGGCTATAGTAGATGATAGGCCCTAATAACATAATATTTTCTGTGTGTTTTTCAGCGTCCCTTTTCTTTTGTTCCAACTCCACCTTACCATAGCCATGCCTACAGTCGAGTCTGGCTTGCTTTGGCCATGTTGGCCTGGATGTTACTTGTTAGGTGCATTGGTCAATTAGCATGATCACACGATTGCGTTGTGTATTTTAGTCAATTTTGTATCATCTTAAACTTTGACCTTGCTTCCTTTTTTGTTACAAACTTCCACAGCTGCAAAGTAGAAATAAAAGACGATTGCCCAGTGGCAGAATTTTTGGTAAAGTGTGCAACAAGCGGTGTAGCGAGTGGGGGGGGGTGCACGCCCCCAATAATTCTTTTCATTCGGCAAATGAAACTGAAATTGATGTCAGGAATTATTGATGTACATCGACCAGTCGGCAAATTGACCCTGGCACACCCCCCCAAAGAAAATGCCTTTGCCACGTCGCTGTGTGCAACAACTTGAACAAGATCAAGAAATAAAGCAAAGATCGATGATGCAGATCGGCCAATTGTGCACAACAAGGACATTCATGACTTGACCATTTTTTTGTTCCATTGCTTCATGTAGGCCTATTAACTAATCCAAATAATTTGGAGTTTATACTCCCAATCATTGTTTTCTTGGGGACAGGCAGTGTCCTACCCCCTCGCAATCATGACAGTGCCCATGCCTACCGGGTTTTCATGTTTTTGAAGTGATTGGAAATGCTGGAACCATAGGATACCGAATTGTGACGTAATTTTGAACCAGAAAGTGAAGTGCTTATTAATGGGGTATGCACAGGTTCATGCGCTAATGCCCGTTCCATACATGTACATATTATGTTCATGACTTATTGACTTGGGTAAAATGCAATATGGCACGCATAACTGACATAAACCGCATTTTGTGCCATACAGAAACAAGGTTGCTTTTATCACAGGCGGTGGCTCAGGGATCTGTTTCACCATTGCCGAAGTTTTTATGAGGTATGAATTGATAATGTCATCTTTCATTGGTTCAGTGATTAGTGATTTTTCTGAATAAAATCAGCTGTGAATGTGCAAAGCTGGCCCATCTGTACATTTGCAAGTCTGTGCCTAAAATTAATGACGGAGAGCCCTTTTTGTTTGAAACAGACATTTAAAGTCACAAAAACCTTGAGGTCAAAATATCTTGTCCTACTTTCCTACCCCTAGAGCCATGGGCTTTGTTGTGCTGAACACCATAGTTTTATGGGTATTGCATTCCACACTAATCGCCAAGTAATCAGTAAAATAGAAACAGTCATATTCTCTGTACAAATGTGAAAATCCAATATCAGATATTCAAGCTAATGTTATTGTCCTCTGTTATTCTCTTAAATCCCAGTAATTCTTTAACGTTGTCTTTCTAGGCATCAGTGTCAAACTGTCATTGCCAGTAGGAATCTTCAGCGGGTTCAAGTGGTATGTCCCCTCGTGTACATTACATTTTGCCAACTGAATCTCATTTTGCCAACTGAATCTCAAACATGTCCAACCTTTAATTAAACATTTTATGATAGATCAGTGTAAACCCTAAGTTCTGGTAGTGTCAGTATCTAGGAAGTCATGCATAAACAGACCTAAACATTAATGACTTCACACTTTGATTGCACATGCTCTGTCCTATGGGGGCCTCATTGGATCTTGTCCGACTTCACTGTCAAAAAGCAATGTCATAATAGTAGAGATCTGTCGCCTCATTCACATGTGGTCATTAACGTGATCCGGCGATAAATTATAGTCAGATGATGAAAGAGGTATTTTTAGAGTCTTTGTTACCCAGACTAGATGTGTAATATGTGTGTTTGAAGTCATAACCTTTTTTTTTTCTCTGCAAAATTAGTTAAACAGTAAGCAGAAAATTTTTTGGGTAGTGACAAGATTATGGATGAAACTTAATTAGATTCCTCCAATGTAAAGTTGTGGAAACGTCGACCAGAACAGCATTATCAGGATTCGTGAATTCAACGTGATGCTTCTGTACTTTTGTACTATAAAGCAGAGAATCATTTATCACAACATGTTTTTTGCAGGCTGCTAAAAAATTGGAAAAAGCCACTGGCCAGCAGTGCTTACCACTTCAGCTGGATGTCCGAAAGGTATTTACCTCAGACTGGCTAGAGATGGCCATATGGTAAAGACTAGACTGTTTGAAACTAAAAAACGCCTCGCAAAAAATCCTACTGCAGGGAATTGCACAAACTTTACACGCTGCCTTTCTCTGCATTACTATACATGTAATTAATGATAATTTATTCATTTATAAAGTGCAAATGTCATACTGATATGTTCAAATGCACTCTACAATGAAGACATAAAACAGGGTCGAGCCAATGGCATACAAGGGCACCTCAGGCAGCCGCCAAACGACCCACATCCATCTATATCTATAGAAAAGATACAATAGAAGCAGTTACAGTTTTAGAGGTGGGAGGAAAACCTTGGGGAAGAAATTTCTGGGTAAAGCCCACGGAATCAGGTAGGGACTGAAAACCCAAGCCACATGTAGACCGAGCCTGGAATCGAACCCTGACCACAGAGGTGAAAGGCAAAGAAAGAACTACTTTGCCAATCCGACTCCCCATCCAGTTCGCTAAATCTTTTGATTTAATTTTTGTCGATACATAGACATTGCAATATTACCCTTTCTTCCTGGCTTGCCTTGAACTAGAAATGGACAGCATGGGACAAGTTGGGTCAAGGACCACAGTTAACCATAGTTCGACTAACTGATCAAACGCACGCTAGTTGACGCAGGTTGGACTTAGTCTAATCAACTATTCGCGACCAACCAATTGAATTATTTTTTTTTTAGCTGTTTTGCCCTTTCTGCGACCAATTTTTTCTCCTATGACCTAACAATAGTTGACTAGGGTCGTTCACACTTTTACTTCACTGCATATGCATTAGGTAAGTCACAAACCAACCACTAGTTAACTAGTGGTCCTTGATCAAACTTGCCAGTGGTTTTGATTAACTTAATGAGAGGTTTGGGGTTTTCATTTCATTTTTGTTTTCTTTCACATATTTATTTTCGTCAACATTTTTGTTTTCACTTTGCGGCATCATTTAAATTGTGGTGTGTTTTTGTGTGTGTGTGTGTTCATTTCAGCCTCAGGATGTGATGAAAGGTGTTGATGCAGCACTTGGCCACTTTGGAAAGATTGACATTCTCATTAATGGTAAATCATATTGACATTGAAGACTCTTAACCATTCTCAACTTGGTTGACAATTTTTTTGAATCCTCTAATAATCAGGCACGCAAATTTTCCTCAGATGAGCTGATTTTCATTCACATTCATATCATTGAACATTGAAAAACACTGTACAGAGTCTTGTAAATAGTGGAACTGCCTTGTTTTTGTCAAACTCCAACTTGCAGGCCTGAATAATGAAATCTGGTTTTGAGAAGACAGATTTTAATGTTGAATTTTGAACAGTTTTACACTTTTGCTCAACTCAAAATATGTAGCGTACACATACTGAAGGTATAGAAACATGAAATTGTGACAAACCAGATGAACTAGTGAAGTGATTGTTTTTAAGTGGAGTTCATTTATGCCTAGGTTAAGACAGTTTTTGTGAAGCTTTGCTTTGCATTTTGGTAAGGAGTTTAACGTGATACTCAAAAATTAATCAACTCTGTACAAAACTCTAGAATTACAACAATAATTTTGTGCCTTTTGCTTTGATCTGTGTGGTTAAGGTGCTGCAGGGAATTTCTTAGTCCCCGCTAGCGGCCTTTCATACAATGGATTCAGGACAGTTATGGATATCGATGCTATGGGAACATACAACACCTCCAAGGCTGTCTACGATAAATACATGAATGTATGTATTTAAAGCAGGTTTCTAAATTGACTTTAGAAAAAAACTAAAAATCTCTGTCGCCGTACATTTTTCCTGTACATAAACTTTGACGGTTAAGTTTGCAAAAGATTCAAGAAGTTAAAAATTCTGTACTTGACCTCACAGTGGAAATACCGTTGATGAAAAGATGCCATATTCAATCTCTTTGTACTACATATACATGTAAATGTGTAGGTTTAATAGATACATTTTCTTTTCCATTAGAAACATGGGGGTGTGATCATGAACATCAGTGCGACGCTTGCCTACAGGGGTCAAATGTTCCAGTTGCATGCCGCAGCCGCCAAGGCAGCCATAGGTAGGCAGGAGCAGTCATCTTCAGGCACTTTGTAGGAGACTGGAGTATCCAGTCAACAGATTGGAGTAATTCTGAAGTGGATTGAAGGGCAAGTGCGGTAGGAAGTCGGGGTTAAGGATCTCGTATGATTCTTCATAAATCATTACATTTTACCTCTTAACAGAGCATGCTCTGGTGAAAAAACTACATAGGTGTGCCTGGCCACAGATTCATACAAGCTGGTCCAGTCTCTTTGCAGCTCTTCTTGTCATGTAAGAAAGCACTGTTGCAATTCTTTTTGCTGTGACTTGTCAGAGTTTATTCAGTATGGGCGGCCCTATGAGAGATGATAAGTTTAAGTGTACTGAGGCATCTCCTGTCTTAGCCTCTTGTCATTGCTGTCTGGTGGTGCAATTTTTGATCCAGACTTCTTCAGAAGTTGGGGTTTCACTCGATCAAGAGAATTGTATTTGTCTACACTCACAGATTCAATGACAAGGACACTGTGTAACGAGTGGGGCCCCCAAGGCATCCGTGTGGTGGGCATAGCCCCAGGACCGATTGGTGACACTGAGGGTATGAGGAGGCTTGGTGAGTCACAAAATTTACCCATCAAGCTTGCTTGTTGGTCAGTTGGCTGCTCAGTTGGTTGATTTATCGATTAAGCGTTCTTTTTAAGAAACTGGCCAATGGTTGTTGATTGACTAGTTAATGGTTAATTTATTGGTTGTTAGTTCAACTAATTGCTTGCTGCATTGCCCAACAGGTAAAGTGGTTGCTGAATGGCTGGCCAGCTTCATAGTTAGTCAATTTTGATTGTTGATTTTTGAATTGATTGCTGGGTAGGCTTGTGGATAGAAGAGATGGATAAGCTAAAAGATGGATGGGTACTGAGCATACTGCCCTCATTTCTTAACAAGCATTGGGGAATGAGACACATCTTTAAGACTAGACTTTACAATGACTTAATTTTCCTAGGAGGTGGCTCTCGTAGGAAACAGGAATTGGAGAGGAGGTTTCAGAACATTCCACTCCAGCGGGTGGGGACCAAGCGGGAAATTGCCGAGTGTGCCGTCTTTGTGGCCAGCCCGGCCGCTAGCTACCTCACGGGGCATACCATCGTTGTGGATGGGGGGAGTTGGATGACAGGGGATAACAACCAGGAAGCCATGAGGAGAAGGCTGCTTGATGCCAAACTGTAGATTTGAAATTTCACCATCTACCCCTTTTTGAGTCCTGCACTTGGAATATCCTGGGTTGTGACAGCTTCACAGGCTCCTTGTGCAGCGTAGGATCTGAAGGTCTTTTCTTCTGAAGGTCTTCTGAAGTATACGTGTCAAGCAAGGGGTAGTTTCAGAATGCCACTTACAAACAGGTGGAAACCAGTAATTAATTCAGCATAGCAATTGTCATTTGGTAAGGGGGTTGTGGGAGGCGGATGTTACATTGTGATGGGGCAGAAGATACAGTCCCTTATAGACCATGTTTGATCAGCCAGTGATCACTCATCTCGTTCTGGCATCCTGCAAATACTTCAGAGTTCAAGTAGTAACAAGAAGAATTGCACCAGTATGCGATTTAATACTTCTGTAACGCCAAGTCATTGTACCTATTTTGCCAATTGACTGGGGCCTGCACAATTCATACAACTGCACAGGTGGCGGTTTCTTGGGTAAGGAAGGGTTGGACAAGCTAGCTCAGAACCTGCCGCTCCAGCGCGTGGGCACCAAGTGCGATATTGCCGACTGTGCAGTCTTCCTAGCCAGCCCGGCCGCTAGCTACATCTCAGGGCACACCGTGGTGGTAGACGGGGGCAGCTGGATGACTGACGACAACAACATAGAGGCTATGGCAAAGAGGGTGGACAATGCCAAATTGTAGGTCTACTAAGGATCAATACTTGTAATGTCTTGTTACTGGAGAATGTCTAGGTTTTAAAAGCGTCAACAGGTTTTTCAGAATAAGTCTGAAGGCCATAAAGGTAATTTTGTTTTAGTCTACATTAGAAAAGGCAAACTTTGCTCCTGTTAGAAGTAGGGATTAAGTTTAGATGTTACAATCTTAACCTGAAAATGGCTGAAGCTAACATACCTTATATGACTGAAACAAGTCCCTCTGGGAGAGAAGTTAACAAGCCTTCTAAGTTTTTCCATATCTGAAAAGCTTAAAGACTTCGTGATTTTTTTTTATACATTCAGAAGGTAATTTGCATTTGAAGTCACTGTGTACTTAGACATTTAAAAACCTCAACCCAACCTCAGGTATGTGAAATATAGATATAAAAATTGGAGGGTCGAGGACCGTTAGGGTCACTCTGTTGTGGATGAATGGAATGTAGGATTTTTTCAGAGTTCCAAGAATTTTTCATGTAAATTTTCCTTTGAGCAACATGCTGCTGTCTAAAGCAATAATTGGAATAATTTCAGTCAAGGTGTTTGCTCTTGAAGGAAATTTAGTTCTCACTAATAAATTCTCTCTGTTAATTTTGGGTGGATTCCCTGTAAATTTAAGGCAGTTTTGAGTATTTTTGCACTGCTAAATTAAAGTATCCAAAGACTTTTTTGCATTATTTCTAATATGTTAATGAATCCAGAGGCAATTTCCTTTTTTGTCCAAATTATTTGAGCATTCCAACGAAGAAGTTGTATATTTTGGATCAGTCAATATTGAGGCTTGTACTTTATTTTACAAATTGCAAAGCAATCATGTCTAATAAATTTCCAATTATATATTTTTAAATTGTGTGTGATGTCACTCAGGAAAAGAAGGTGTGAAGTCTTAATCATAATCAAGAAACCTGTTCATCATGGCTGAGATCTTGTATTACCCTTCAACTCTGAAACAGGCCCAGCCTAATTCGCAATACAGTCCACTCCCAGTAGGCCTGTGTACTGATGATGTCTTCCTTTGTTAACGTGCACTTTCCCGTGCCTATTGGGGGCTCACAGTCCACTGCACTCCATAGAGGGATCCCAATACGACGCTTTTAGTGTCGATCTGCACACTTCCGCGTTTGAAAACGAGGCTGTATGTGTCGGCTTCTATTCTTAATATGATCAGACGATTGAAAGTAAGGAGTCAAGACACAAAATGCATAAAGGT